CCATCTACATAGGCTGCCCCTGTAAACATGTGGTGTGCTGTGAGTAGGGACCCAACAAAGGCACACACCACTCCATAGCCTAGGTGGCTGTGTCTTCTTACACAGAAGAGAGGACTGAGTATATAAGGCAGGAGAACTTGGCCAAGCTCACACAACCAGGAAGTGTCAGAGCTGGGATTCCACCTTAGCAAGGAGAGGATGAGCAGGCATTTTTCACATAGGGCAGAGAAACCATTATCTTAGTAGCCTGTTGGGGTGAGGTGGATTTCCAGTGGGATCACCAGAGTGGAAGCAGTGTCAGAAAAATAAGGGATCCAGAAAAAAATGCACACCTTGTCTGTGTGTCAGCAGTTGACAATACATGTGGACAAGGAACTCTTGTGGCATGACAGTCCTTTGAAAGACTGGGGGAGAAGCTGTTCAGGTGGACAGCGATGCCATCTGTGGTTAGCTGGCTGGTTGGAGGCTCATCCAGACTGGTTCCAGGAATGGCAGGGTCAGGGTCTGAAAGGCAGTTTCCTGACTTAGGAACTAAGTACACACAAATGCAAAAAAAATGGACACTGTGATCAAAGACTGCACCTCCAGTGTGACCTGGTACTGACTATTGGACTATTGACATTACCTTCTGCCATTGAACCGGGGTCAGGGGGGAGGGTTGGGGGAGGGAAGCTCTGGCTATGAATAGCAAAGAGATGTAAGGTCAAGATGCTTCCTGTCTTTCCTATGCCCTGAAGCAGTAGACATTTGCTTTAGCCATGTGGACGTATACCACCCTGAGCAGTTTTACTCTCACTGGGATACATCAGCAAGAATTAAGGAAACTAGGTCTTTGTAAGCCCAGTTCTGAGGGCTTCTCAACCATATTTATTCTGGTATTTGGTGGCCTTCACCACACCACCCCAAGTCTCTGTGTGAAACTCCCCCAGTGGGTTCCCTCAGTACTCCAAGCTAACCTGGCTTTTCCATGGCAGCTGATGTATTTAGACCTGGAACTTCTCCAAAGGTCCTTATAGTAAAGGCTGAGTATCCGGCCTGGGGCGCTACTGGCAGGTGATAAAACCATTAAGAGATGGAGATTAGGAAGCAGTTTTAGGTAACTGGAGGATACTCCTAAATAGATTGTGGAAAGCTTGTAAACTGGTCTTCTCCCTCTTCTCATTTCTGGCTTGAAGATTGATAAGCCATCTTCTGCTTTAAATCTGCACCATGAGACACTGCCTCATCACAGTCACAGAAGCAAGAGGAACAACCGACCATAAAGTCAAATGATTTTTTCCTCTTTGTAAGCCAGTCACCTCAGTTATTTTCTTAGAGCAGAGAAAAACATACTGACACTGAAAAACAGCTATGTTAGAAAGGTAGCTCAGGGGCCGTTGGGATGGCTCAGTAGGGAAAGGTACTGGCAACCAAACCTGACTATCCGAGTTTGAGTCCCAGAGGCCACATGGGGGAAGAAGACTCCTACAAACTGCTCTGTGCCCTCTGACTTCTATATGTGTACCATGACATGCACATGTGCGCACATACCTGCACACCCGAGTGCTCACATGCTCACAGGCATACACAAGTAAATGTAAAAAAAAAAAAGAAATGAAGTTCAGAATTTACTGAATTGTACTTCTTAAATGTATTGTGCCATTGGGCGGTGGTGGTGCACACGTTTAATCCCAGCACTTGGGAGACAGAGGCAGGTGGATCTCTGTGAGTTCAAGACCAGCCTGGTCTACAAGAGCTAGTTCCAGGACAGCCTCCAAAGCCACAGAGAAACCCTGTCTTGAAAAACCAAAAAAAAAAAAAAAAAAAAAAATATTGCGCCATTTCTACTCTACTGACCCAGTCGACCAACAAAGCAAGACTATTTACCCACAAGATATTTGTTGTCTGCTCCCTCTAACACCACAGGATAGTTATTGCATGATTCCAACTACGTGGTCCATCTAAAATACTTAACTTCTTAGAGACAGAAAAGAGAATGGCAGTTATCAGTGGTGGTAAGGAGGGGAGAGTTGGGTCATTATGTGGTTTAATGTGTAGAATTTCAGCTTGGGATGATGAAATATTGTTGGAGATGGGTTCTGGCAACCTCATAATAACCTGAATGTTCTTCCAGACTTACACATTTAACAATGGTCAAAATGGCATGTTATATACATTTTACCACATTAAATGACTATAAAACAATGCATTGTAATCAGTATAAACAAACACAGCCCAAGAGAAGGGCAGAACTATTTTAGATAAGATCACAGGAAGTTTCTCCTAGACAAGAATCTTAGACTAGAAGAGAAAGAGCACTAAAGAGTGAGGATATCCCAGGCAGAAGACAATAGTGAGGAGTCTAGAAGTGTTCCTCATGCATTGACAGCAGCCAAAGGTCCATTGTCCTTTATATTGTACACATGTGCATGTGTCTACAGTGGGTGTGCGCTTGGGCATGTGTGTGTTTCTGTATTGGAAGCAAGATAGTTGGTATGACTAACCACTTAAACTTACTTATGGTAACTCAGTCATGAGAATTAGCAAAATGGACATCAGTTGAAGGGGAGATGTGTTACGATAAATCTTTCTGCCAAAGCCGCCGAATCCCATTGCCACATGTGTGCTTTACGCCAGCCCCCCGCCCGAGTTAGGGCCCAAATTAATACACAGAGAGACTTGTATTAGGTTCAAATGCTGCTTGGCCAATGACAAGGATTTCTCATCTGTTAGCTCAGTCTTAATTATCATAAATCTATATATTTTATAAGACTTATCTTATCGGACACCTTATTGGCATCCCTCCTTGGTGCCGGTGGATCACATTGAGCCACTGGAGGAAGAGCAGAGGGGAAAAGGGGACACTTCCTTTTTCTCCTTTCTTAAATATGAGTCTCCTTGCTATGTCACTTCCTGCCTGGAACACCACTTCTCTACTACATTTCCCAAAATCCTCTTTGACTCCTAGGCCTGCCTAACTTGCTGTCTCATTGGCCAAACAAGTACTTTATTCAATAATCAATATGATGAACATACACATCAGAGATGGTGCTGCATTACGGCAGACAGCAATGTCACACCCTAAAGAGGGTTGCTTATTAATCTGGGGTTGAAGGTCATCTTGAATTATCTCTCTCTCTTTTTAATCTGGTTTGGCTCCTCTCTCTCTGTCTGAGTTCCAGGTTGAGTGGAAGCTTCCAAAGCCCTGAAAATCATTTCTGGTGAGTGCATTTGGGTTCCTATATTCTCAGTCTTGGGGTTTGATTCATTTCAGAGGCCTGAGGTAAGAGGCAGGTCAGACAGAAGTCACATTGGTGGCAGCACTTTCTCTGCTTGCTGGGACATGTGAGTTTTCTCAATTATCTGTTTGCAAAGAAGACATTACAAAGAGAGTGCCATGGCATCTAAGACCTATAGGACTGGCATGTTAGGCTTCTTAGTGAGGAACAGCAGGAAGAAAGTCTTGAAGGACAGATGTGATGCTGAGAGAGAGAGAGATTCTAGGCAGGTTTGCCTAATTGTCAGCAGTTTGGGCTTGTACAATCTAGGAGGAAGAGGGGAAATCTACTAGAGAGAAATTTACAGAGCAAATGCTTTCCCTAGCAACCCTGTCTTGCTCTATGGAAATGAACTACCAAGAAGTGCACTCAAGTGCATTCTGGGAAGGGCTTGTAGACTTACCATGGGATCAGGGTCTGGCCCTGTCTCTTTTAATTGCTAGCCTATAGTTTATTGTTGGAAACTAGAGAAAGGATAACTAACTGGTCTTGGAGAGAAGTTCCAGCATAAAAATAGGATTTGGAATGCAGATGGTGTCCAAGAGTAGGTAGGAGTGTGTGTGAGATCCTTCAGAATATCGAGTCTCCCTTCGTCCCCATCCACTAAGGTACCAGGCATTAGTGAGTAGGTGATGTGAAGTTGTTCTGTTCTCACTGCCATGAGAAGCACATTCATAACTTGCCTGAGTGACACTAGAGGCTTGGGCCCTAGTGACCTCCCTCAGAAGGGCCTTCACTGCATGTTACCATGTTATGCCTATTTTTGTTAAAATACTAACCACGGGCTGGAGACATGGCTCAGCCGTTAAAGGCTAGGCTCACAACTAAAATATTAACCACACAGCATCGTAAAGGGTGCTTGCCTTTCTTTTCCTTTTTTTTAATTTAAATTCTTTAATCACCACTCATATTTACATATTCACCCCCCCATTCACTCGCCCTACCATTGCCCCATGTTCCCCACCAACCTCTCTAACCCATCCCCCAACTCCTCCCCAGGGACAGTGAGGCCCTCCACCAGGGACCTTCAAAGTCTGTCATATCATTTGGGGAAGGGCAGAGGCCCTCCTTGCTGTATCTGGGTTGCAACAGTATCCCTCCATAGGGAATGGGCTCCCAAAGTCCATTTGTGCTCTAGAGTTAAAGACTGGCTCCACTGTTAGAGGTCCCATAGACTGCCCTGGCCTCCTAGCTGCCACCCACATTCAGAGGGCTTGGTTCGATCCAATGCTGTTTCCTCAGCTTTATGACTAGGGTCTCCATGCTCTCAGTAGGTCAGGTCCACTGTTTCTGAAGGTCTCTCCCTCCCCATCTTGGCTCCTTTGCTTATCCCTCCTCCCTCTCCACACCTGAATTCCAGTAGTATGGTTCAGTGATTAGCTGTGGGTGCCTGTTTCTGCTTCAAACAGCTACTGGATGAAGGCTCTAGGAATGGTAACCAAGGTAGACACCAATCTCATTATAGGGGAAGGGCATCAATGGCATTTTCTCCACCACCAGTGGCATTTCTCCAATCTGCTTGGATTCTTAGTTGGGGTCATCCCTGTAGATCCCTTAACATTTCCCCTGTGCTGGGTGCTTGCTTTTCTAAATACACAATCTGGACACTAGCAGTGAGGAATCCATCTGTACAATGTCTGTCCCCAAGTTACAAGACAAGAGGTCAGGTTGGTATATACATGCTGATTAACTGTAAAGGATGAGATAATTTTTCATGATTTCCCCCACACCAAGGTAAGGACCATGTTCCTGTTTCCATCTTTCCTTCTCCTTGGTGTGGTAACAGCATCTTATGCAGAGACTGTAACTGAAGGTGCTCAAAGTACCTGCCCTGTGGTTGCCTGCAGTTGTCCAGTCCTGAATGGCTTCCCAGGCAAAGATGGACGAGATGGGGCCAAGGGAGAGAAGGGTGAACCAGGTATGCATCGAACTGCTCTTTGCTCTTAAAAAATTACTGTGTGTGTGTGTGTGTGTGTGTGTGTGTGTGTGTGTGTGAGAGAGAGAGAGAGAGAGAGAGAGAGAGAGAGAGAGTGTGCGTGCTTGCACACTAATGCACTCATTTGAGTGCAGGTTACCTTGGAGACCAAAGACATAGTACCCTCCTGGAGCTGGAGTTACAGGCAATTGTGTGCTACCCATCGTGGATGCTGGGAACTGAACTCAAGCCCTCAGCAGTAGCAGCACATGCTCATCAACACTGAACCATCTCTCCAGCCCCTTTCTGTGACTACATTCCAGAAGAAACCGACTAGAGATACAAGGAGAGGAAAACTTATTAGGCATATTGCATTTTCACCAGCAATGTTCTCTAACTCAAAACACAAAAAGTTCCAGTTCTCTGGCATTCTGGACTCCCACACGGAAGTGTGTGATGTTTTCTTGTGTGTCCTGGAAAGTGGCTCTCATGTCGGTCTGTCTCATGGATCACCGGGGACTTACCTCACCACAGGGGTTAAACATCAAGCTTTTGGAAAAAGAGCAAAAGCACAGATATCGACCCAAGGTTTGTTTATCTTCCAACAGGCGAAGGGCTCAGAGGCTTGCCGGGTCCTCCTGGAAAGGTAGGACCTGCAGGATCCCCAGGGATTCCTGGGCCCAAAGGAGCAGTGGGGCCTAAAGGAGCAGTGGGGCCCAAAGGAGACTGTGGAGAGTGTGTAGGTAAGGAGATCATGTCAGAATGTCTGGGCTGATGGCTTTTGGGCTCTGGAACCTAGAATGCTGGTAGGATGTGCTGTTTCTTGATGCGGCAAGGGCAGATGCCCAGCTTTGCTTCCTGATCAAGTTCCTTTATCAGTGTCTGATTACTTAGAGCCCAAGGGGTTTTCCATCAGTGACTAGGTATGTATTTGTAGATCTTTCGGGAAATCCTATTTTCAGTCACTCAGCAAGGTATGGAAGTCCAGATTCTCTTTTGGCTTAAACAGTATCCTTCAGCTGAGTTTCTGACCTCAAGGGGAAAATACTATATCTAAATGTGGTCTTCTATGTCTGTTTTTACTTAAAGTGTATTGCTAATCATGTGAGTTATAGTTTACCTCTAAGAAGTCAATCCAAAAACTCAGTAGGTTAAAAAAAAACCCACACCATTTATTATACACTTCTTAAGACAGAAGCTTCAAGGCTTGTGAGGATTTCCTCCTACACATAGAGATTCACTTGCCTCTGCTTGAAAGGCATTCGCCATCACTCCTGGTTCGGACTAGAGTTTTTAGGATTAAAAATGAAACATGAGTATTTGAGAGAGTAACAAATAAATGAATCATTGATTCCCAGTCTCTCCTCAAGCTTATAAATAGGGACAAATAAAATGGGGGACAGAGAGGCTTCACAATTAAGCAGTCCTGCTCACAGCGTGCTTCCCTTGATGACTGTCCCCAGTTCTGCTTCAGAGAGGCAGTCTAAGAAGTCCTTCTTGAGTCATCACTTGAGGGGACCAGTCTGATTTCCACAAGGTGATCGTTTCTGCTCTATTGTCTTGCCCTCATGGGTAACTTTCTTATCTTGGGAGGTAGTGTGTCCTGTGAGAACTTGATCTTCCTGGAATAGATGAGGACATCCATGTACCTTTGTCCTTGAGAAGGGTGAGATGGCCTAAAAAGGCAGTGTGTGACCACCTACCATGCTAATGTGCAGAGGTGGGGAGGTGGCCCAAAATGGAGACAGTAATGACCGGTATTCTTCCTTTATATGCCTTGTAATTCTAAGCAAGGAGTTGTCTTCTTTCTTTCTTTCTTTTTTTCTTTCTTTCTTTCTTTTCTTTTCTTTTTTTTTTTTAAGCAAAAGCAGTTACTAAGTGCTTGTTTTAGATAAAGTATCACAGAAAGATTGATGTTTTTGGCCAGGTAAAAACAGATTTTTTTTCCACTAAAGTACATCAATGTTAAAAATAAAAGCAAACCTTGCTTCTTTTCTTTTATCTGAAAAAGATACCATACTCCTTAGTATGCACAGTTTGCATCATCATCCTAACAGTACTTTTCACTGTTTCATTTTCTAGGATTTGATTCTAGAAAAATTGATGCAGAAATATCAGCCCTGAGGTCAGAGTTGAGAGGCTTTAAGAAGTGTAAGTACCCTTCCCCTCTTATTTAGGCAACTTAAAGTTTGGGAGTGGTAGGAGCCAGAGAATATTCACTGCACGAATACGATTTTCTAGGACCTGAAAAATTGCTCATATTCTGAACTCACGTTACTCTCCTAACAATGATCTGGGAGAAAGAGAGGCAAATAGGAATTAAATTACTTACTCAGATTCACAGAGCTCAGTGTTAGAACCAGTCTATAAGTGGCAGTGACTCTTAGACTAACCAGTCCTACATAGGGTCAGATCTTTGATCACAAAAATGACATGTGGGCCACTTTGTAATCCTGGATCTAAGCCAGACAATGGAGCCAAGCATGTTTCTCCCAGCTATGGTCAGATATTTCCAGATGTTGTTGTTTGATTGCAAGGTAACAGCATGGGAGAATTCAGAATTGCAGATTACATGTGTTCTGCAATGCAGATCTAACACAAACAAAGGCTTTGTGCCTGTTTATGCATATTAAGACTGCAAGGAAAAGAAGCAAGATAATAGTTCAACTCGAATTTTAGGTAAAAGAGGCACGTTTTGGTTTGTGTAAGCAGTCCACCAGGGGTCTCATGAGCGAAGACACTCATTGTGGCACACACTATCAGAGAAAATGCAGTCTACACCATCCAAAGTGAATTTTACACAATGAGTGGTCTACAAGATAAGTTGGTGTCTCCCACCTTTTTACATTCTAGGGGTGCTCTTATCGATGGGTGAACAAGTTGGAAAGAAGTACTTTGTGAGCACCGGTAAAATGTTGAACTTTAATGGAGTCAAGGCTCTGTGCTCCCAATTACATGCCTTTGTGGCCACTCCCCGGAATGCTGAGGAAAACGTGGCCATCCACAAGGTGGCTAAAGACATCGCCTACTTGGGCATAACAGATGAGAGGACTGAAAATCGATTTTTGGATTTGAGTGGAAACAGAGTGCAGTACACTAACTGGAGTGTTGGCCAGCCTAATGACACTGGCAATGAGGAAGATTGTGTGGTGATCTGGTCAAATGGCAAGTGGAATGATGTCCGTTGCTCAGACTCCTTTTTGGCAGTCTGTGAATTCTCTGACTGAGAGTGTTTGTTTCTCAATCCTCCTTGATACTGTATTGTGCTCCATAAGTCCACAATCTGTTCTGAAATATAAACTATGTTAAATTACAAACAATTAAACATTACCTACCCAATTAAACCATAACACTCTTTTTGGGATAGTGTTTTCTTGTGAGGTATAAAAATAAACATGAAGTTAGCCTTTTCATTTATGACAAACGTGTGCTCTGTTGAGTCCTATTCTTTCTTTGGGTAGAAGGCTTCCAGGGTAGTGACACCACCCTAGCTATTTCCATAGCTCCTCAGCCTAGTCTCAGGTATTGAAAGGGTCTACTTATAGCTTTATTTCAGAGATTTATTTCTTTCCTAATGGGACATTAAACTATATAGAATGTAAGGCTCAGATTAATGAATTCTCTCTCACACATACATATCTGTCCATCCATTCATCCATCCCATCTGTCAATATGTTATTATCTATCTTCTATGTATGTATGTATGTATGTATGTATGTATGTATGTATGTATCTATCTATCTATCTATCTATCTATCTATCTATCTATCTATCTATCTGTCTATCATTTACTTATCTAATAACATCCTATAGGTACAGGCATAGACACTTTTCTGACCCTAGAAACCCCTTAATACTTCTAGATACTGTTCCCAAAGGTAAGTATGATTTTGATCTGCATGGTAACAAATTAGGTTTTTTTTTTTTTTTTTTTTTTTGGTTTTTCGAGACAGGGTTTCTCTGTGTAGTTTTGGATGGTATTCGCTCTGGACACCAGGCTGGCCTCGAACTCACAGAGATCCACCTGCCTCTGCCTCCCGAGTGCTGGGATTAAAGGCGTGCGCCACCAACACCCAGCCAGCAAATTAGTTTTATGTTTATTAAATTCATGTAGACAGAATCATACTGTATATACTGTTTTACATCTTATGTTTAGTTCATTCATTAACATGTGACATTCATTCATGTTGTTGTAGATAAGCAGCAGTTTATTCTTCTGATTGCTGTAAACTACTCTCTTATATTAAAACATCATACTTTACCTTTTTCTTGTTAATAGACACAATAGAATGGCTTTAAATTTTTGATCATTAAGAAAAATATCTCTTGGGGCTGGGGAGTTGGCTCTACTGTTAAGAGCAGGTATTGCTCTCACAGAAGACCCGAGTTAAGTTCCCAGCACTGCTATCAGACAGCTCACAAGCTCCTGTGCCTCCAGCTACAGAGGGTCTGACACCCTCTTCCAAATGCTACAGGCATGTGCGCTCATGTGCACATACCTACCATACATAAACACATAGTTACAAATAATAAAGAAAGAAGAAGCCCTCAAGAACCTCCTTTTGGTAGATATGTACTCTAACTTTGTGGTTGGTTGTTGGTGGTAGGGAAAATAGGTGTCTAGACTCCATTAAAGGAACCACACTTCCATCAACAATGTATGACAATTGTACACATTCTACATCTCAGGGAAGAGGTTGTACTTCAGTTCTTTTGATTTTGGCCACTCTTGTAGGTGTAAATGGATGTTGGTATTTTGTTTTAGTTCTATTTCCCTAGTGTGTTATGATGATGAAAATATTCCACATGGTAATTGCTAACCTAAACATTTGTTGTGATCTGTTCAAAGCTTTTGTATTTTGTTGTAATCAATCTGCACTTTTCATAATGACTTATAGGTATTTTTTTTTACAATCAGAATACAAATCTCTTCTGCTTATGTATATCATAGGCACTTTTCCAGGCTTTTTACTTTTTCCATTATTGGCTTTCGATGAATATAAGAGTTTAATAAAATAACTTTTGTTTGTGTGTTTGGATGTTTTGCCTGCATATATATTTTATGTATACCACATGGCTGCCTGGTGATGGTTGAGGCCAGAAGAGGTTAAAGGGTACCTTGGAACTGGAGTTACTGATGCTTGTGAGCTGCCATGAGCTCTGGTCCCCTGGAGGAGCACGTGGTGCTCCCTAGCACCAAGAACATAGCATTTTCTTTTATCTTTGAGATTATAATCACACAGTTTCTGTCTTCCAAACCCTCCCATATCTCCTCTTATCTTAATTTTTAAGGAAACCTCATTTATTAATTTTTTATTAAATAATAATAATAAAACATTTAAAAAAGACATCTCTTTCATTACTTTCCCCCATAATCCTCCACCCAACCCTGTCCCTCAAGTTCCCATCCCTACTCACTCCAGTTTATCCAGGAGATCTCTTCTATTTCCCCTTCCCAGGAAAATCCATGTGTCCTTCTTTGGGCCTTCCTTGTTACCCAGACTCTCTGGGGCTCTCAATTGCAGCGTAGTTATCCTTTATTTTACAGCTAACATCCACATATGAGTGAGTACATAACATGTTTGTCTTTCTGGGTCTGTGTTACTTTGCTCAGGATGATTTTTTTCTAGTTCCTTCCATTTGCCTGCAAATTTCATGACATCATTTTTTAAAACAGCTGTGTAATACTCCATTGTGTAAATATACCTCATTTTATTTTTTTAACCACATTTTCTTTATCCATTCTTCTGTTGAAGGACTTCTGGGTTGTTTCCAGGTTCTGTCTATTATGAATAATGCTGCTGTGAACATAGTTGAGCAAGTGTCCTTGTGGTATGATTGAATATCCTTTGGGTGTATGCCCAAGAGTGGTATAGCTCTGTCTTGAGGTAGATGGATTTGCAATTTTCTGAGGAACCGTCATTAATATTTTCTTTTAAGGTTAGTTCTTTGTAAAGTTAAGAAACTTTCTATGTTTCTTTCTGAAGTGTTACTATTAATCTTTCTGCCTGTGCCTAATACACATCCATGTAGTAAAGTACTATTTATTGGAAAAACCATTCAAAATTAAAATGGTTCATTTTTGTAAATTAGGTGAATGCGTGCAGATTTGACTTTAGACTTTCTATGTTTGCTGTTGCTCTTTCGATTCTTGTGCCAAATTATAACACCTGGAAATATGAGTCTTTAAGTTTTCTAAATCTACAAGATATCAAAATAAGTTTTAGAGCTATCTGTCCAATTTCCATAAAAATCTGATGTTTTCATTATTACGGCATTAACCCTGTCAGTCAATTTAGATTTAACAACTTACTAAGTCTCCAATTAATAGTTTATCTCTTCATTTAACCAGGATTCTAAGTTTTAAAATTTTTATTGGTATATTGTGGATATACCAATACATATGAAAGCATAGTATAACCATATAAAAGGATTTTTACTGGTATATTTTGAATGTTTTAGCTTATGGAGTCATAATCTAACAAAAAGATTTTTAAAGGTAATACATTTTTTGTAATTAATATTTTCCATTCTCTATATAAACATGGTTAATTTCTGTAGTTATTAAACTCAATATATTAATTTCTAATTACAGAAGTTTATAGATTTTTCTGCATTCATAGCCATGTTACCTGAATGCAGGTAATAAGCATAGATGGTTGTTGGCTTCTTTCCTGTTTCATGCCACATAACCAGACCCTTCTATTCCAATGTCCTTAGGGGTTTTGTTCTTATGACACAAACAGTGGAGTCATAGAGGTGTTCTTGCTGGGAAATAGTATGGAAGGCCTTTGGAGCAGCACCCTGTACACATTAGCACATATTAAAGCAAACACCCAAGGAGACATACAAAACAAACAGAAAACACACATAAACCCTCACCTATATATCCATAGATGGATACGTTTTTGCCCTTGACCACTCTGTTCTCTAGCTCTTTCTGAAAAAAAAAGAAAGAAAAAAGAAAAGAAAAAAGGAAAAAAAGAGAAAGGAAGTATACAGGCTTCTAATCACAGCATTTAAGAGACAGAAGCAGGCAGATCTCTGAGAGTTTGAAGCCATCTTGGTCTACTTAATGAGTTCTAGAATAGCCAGAGACACACAGTGAGACCCTGTCTCAACAAACAAAAATCAAACAAACCAATCAACCAATAACAAACAGAGGAGGAGCAAGGGGAGAAAGAGGAAGGGGGGATAAGCAGGAAGCAGAGGAGGAAGAGGAAGAGGAAGAGAAATAAAGACAGTCTGGCACTAGGGATGACTGAACACTGAGAATTGTCCTGTAGTAGAGGAATGCCCAACTACAGTCCACATGATAGCAGTTGCTCTCATAAGAATTCTGGTGGTATAGTAGTAGCTATAAAGCAATGTTAGTTAAATCTCTTCATCTCCGATAGGAAACAATTGACAGCAGCTTTATAAGCAGCTTCCAGACTTCTATAAAGGCCATACAAGTCACAGAATCACCACACTCTGGGAAGTCCAAAACTATGTTTTTTTTTTTTTTTTTCTTCAATCTGTCCTCTGGGTCAGAGGTCATTTTTACAGTAGTCAATATCTCTCAGTGACACAGCTGACATTATACCTTTATCAGGAATCTAGGCAAATGGAACTAGAAAGTTAATTCAAAACCAAATTCAGCAGTAGGATAAGGGAATTTTGTAACCGTTGTCTATGCAATATCCTTTCAAATCCTGTGTTCTCAATACTCCAGAAAAAAAGAGATCAGAAACCTAAAGTAAATGAAAAGTAACCTATGATATAATATAAACCTATTTATAAACATCCTTTAAGGTTGGGGTTCCATCTGAATGTTGGAATAATAATAAAGACAGGTACTGGTGGACACTGAGTGGATGTGCCACATTCTTGATTAGTAGCTAAATGACTACCTGGGTGTAGAATTCACCTGGCTGGATTTCTAAAGGACACACAGTGATGGGCTTTCTTCCATAGAGAAACCCATGCAGTAGTTTTCTTCTATTAGTACTTAGCTCACTCGGTGCTGGAACCAGATTCTAATGGCTTAAAGACTTCCTGGGGCCATGTAACCCTTGAGTTTATCATCTTTTCACTGTCCCTCATTGCTCTCATAGCCTCACTTCTTGCCTACACTCCTAGGTAGCAAGATGAATCAATATAATGACTAGTTTTCAACTTTTGATTCTTTTGAAATTCTCTTCCTTTAAAACATTGACTGGGAAAAGCTCCAATCATGTTTGAATTC